CACATGCTATAATCCTCGACTTGTTCTCTCCTTTTAGCTATATGGTATCAAAGCTGGAGGTGGCGGTGGTGAAAAGCGGCGTGGCGCACCATGCTTACGGGAGGTAAATCTCGGACCTCCTCCTAGACCAGCCAAGCTTTTACCTCTCCACGGCTGACGAAATGGCCACGTGACGGGAAGAATCGAAGTAATTCAGGAGTTACCTGAAACCCTGCCTTCTAAATTGGCTTGCCCCCCCCCCTACGTCGTTGGGCTAACCGACTTTGAATGGAAGTTGAGACTGGCGTTCCGAAAAAGGAATGGTCAACCCCAATAATCCTCACTTTAACTCCAACCACTTCAATAATCCTGAATTTTGAGTTCGGAACTTTTCGTTGATCATAAATGATGGTCTAGGAAAGGTGATTACTACAGTGAGAAACTCTTAGCTTGAAATTCTTTGGAGAGGGGGTTAGAGTTGTTCCAGTTACTGCTAAAAAGCTAGGAAAAGGAATGAGCACTGAAAACTTTATCCTATCCCGGCTATGCACACTTTTTCTATGGCCTAAATTCGTAAAAATTCGCTACGATACAGCTTAAATGAAAAACAATGAGTTAGACCATAAGTTATTTACCTCGTTGGTATACTAATCCCATTCGTTTGCTTCATGAGGTCTAAGTAGCGTTGTAGACAGTCATTGAGAAGCAACTGATTCGGTTCATCGGTTGGCTCCTCCACTATCACTTGCGCTGGTTTATCATCAGTAAACTCATCATTAGCAAACCATTCATCATCAGCAAGATCATCGTCATCAGCGTCCGAGTCAGATGTATCCCTGAAATACATGGTTTGCCAAGCTTCAATAACAATCCGTCACGCTTCCTCAAAGAAAAAAAAATCCAGCTTATCGTATCCACAACTCGCAAAACTTCTTCTACGTTTTCCACAAAGAATCACAGTGACTATTCTAGCTTGCTACGCTCCTCTCAAACTCAGTAATAACTGAATACTTATGGTTAGTGGCGTAACTCACATCTCAGGCTGCTTATTGCCTTCGTCATCACCCGAGATGCTGAACCTCTCGAATTTCGCATTGATCTTTTCGAATCTCCTTTTGGCACGTGGGGCTTCATCGTCATCCTGGAAATTCATTTACTAAACGTATGAGAAGCTGATAGTGTGAATTTTTAAAGGCACAGTTCGCGACCGCAAATTGCGGGAAACGGAACTCAAATAGGCACAAAAAAGTGCTAAGTATCTGATTAGCGGAGAAAAGCAGCAGAAAAAGCAGTCCGAAATGTTATAGAGAAAGATAACATAGTGGCTACTAGCTAGTAGCTAGCAGCCGGTGAGGGTCGGCATGGGCCTAAGGGGTGTCCATGGGCCTAATTAGTCAGCTTCTAGCGGAGTTCTTGCCGTTTTTCACATTTTGAAAGTAGCGCAGCCTCAAAAATCGCCTTCCGGATCGTCCGACACATTTGAGAGGTCATAGCCTTATTTTATCGCGGAATGTGCTTTAATAGTCGTCCCACAATAACTCCCGAAGCATTGAACAAACTACACAACAGCTCTCACAGAAAGTCCGAGAAAACGACAGCCAGCTACTCCTATATGACCTTGATATTCATACTTCGCGATATGTAGAAAACCCGCGATTCGAAAGAATCGGACAAACGAGAGTATACGCATTATCCAAAAACCCACAGATTGGAGGAATCGACGTCAGGCCACATTCATATAATATTGGTAGTGCGGGAAAGTTCTGTCACTACTTTTCCGAACCTCAAATTAACCGCGGCGCAACGAACTGGCGCTCCTACGTGCGTCCAGCTCGCCGGAATTTTTGCCCATTACCAAGAGTAGTAAACGGTAATGTAAGCTTGTATACAACAACAGTGGTCTCTCTGTGAGTAGCACTCGCTTGCCTCTTGCTCCTTCTTCTGCAATATGCACGAGGATTTTACTACCATCAGCCCCGACCCATTCAACAACTTCCACAAACACACCCATCACCCTGTCGCCAGCGTGTTAGCTGCAGATGCCAAATTGATGGAACTGAATAACCACCGATGCCCCCAAATCATATAGCAACGTTAAAAACTCTAGGAGATACGGATCATTTTGATGAGGAAGTAAGGTTGGTTACCTGCAAACTCAGCTTGAGGGACACTATGGGTCGGAAACTGCTGGATGAAGAGTGTCCTTAGCGTCAAGCGCTACGCAACAAAGCAGCTTACAAGATCTACAGTAGCGTATCGTGCATCAAGAGCGAAAAACCCGCGCACAGCCGGCCCTCACCAAGATTAGTGCCACTGCACTCTGTCCAAAAAAAAAGTTCGAGCCGTACCTCATGCGCGCGCGCCCCGCCAATGGAGCTTCGATCTCTCTTCCCCTTCCCACCTGGTGTAGCAGCAGGACATCGCCCCTTTCTAATGGCAAGCCTTGCCTTCCTAACCGATCTTATGCGATCGAGAAAACCCCATAACCCAAGGTCCAATGTCGACAGTTGAAGGATGGTGTCACTTTGCCGTTCGTGTCTCCCTGCAAGGAAGCGATGGCATCATTGAGGCCTCAAGCACTGCAAGCCACCCGCAGTAACATTGCTGCTACATTTGATCTTACACTCCTCTCTATAAAAAGAAAGCCTAGTTTGAAAAAATGTGACAGAACTTTCCCGCCAACCTAATACTTTGCGACACTGGAGGATAGGAGAAAGGAAAATCAGGAGATACAGAATCGGGCGCAAGGGAAAAGCACGTATTGACGGCAATCGATGAGAGGTAGAAGAAGGGGAAAATGTGGCAAATAGGCCGAGAATACCAAAGGAGTAAAGCTAAGTCATCCCGTATCCTAAGCCTACTGATTCTCCCTATACTCCGCACGTATGCCAAATCACCGATACCTTATACTTCAATTGCGCGCTTCTTTCAAAGCAACGATTTACCGATCGTCTCCCACTCCTGTGGCATTAGGATGATCGCGGAGCTCCTTCAAGCCTGATGGATTAGTATGCTCGAACGCGGGTTCTCCAGATTGATGAATATACCTTTTCTCGTATTAAATATACCTTTTCTCGTAGCCGATTCCCGGGAATGAAAGATTCTTCCGAAACGCCCATAATTAGCAAATGTGGAGCGTCCAAGTTGAATAGTGGGATGAAAGAAGGTGCTGATGAAAGGATCTGTGCAGAATACGACCTCCTTGCCACAGTTTTCCCCTCCTGTACGACCTCTTTCCATAGCTTGACCGATAATTTTACCAAACTTCCCCAGAAACGTGCCGACCAAAGTGGACACCTGCGATCACACTATTCAGATCAAACCGAATAGAAAAACTTTGGTGTCGTGCCGCCCCGTCGTCCTACCGTAGGTCCAAAGGGGAGGGACATAAGTGGCGCCGTGGAAAACCCGCGGACCGTCAAGTAACAGAACAATCTTGCCACGGACCTGTTACCGACTACCCACATTCTCCCACTGGCAACCATATCCGATCCCCGCTCTGGCATAAACACGTCCGCGACTTGCCTCGACCGCGCTGACAATTATTCCTCTACCGACCTCATCTCACACCTCTCCATGACTTGAGAAAACACAAAACAGATTCTTGTTTGGCGTCAGCTTTTCCTGCGGAACTCTCATGTCAAAATACTACCGAACGAACTCAACTCCTTCACACTCGCAACAAACCCAAGTGCATCACACCAACCCTTGAAAACCTTAGCTGCGTCTTCCAAAATGAACGATCCAGGTCCGCACGCGCTCCACACTACTCCCGTGCTGCGCCACGTGAGCACCCGCCCAGGCCTAAGGTGTCTGCTGGTCGAGCTCATTCGCTGCAGAACAATTCACAGCGACATGTTATCGCTTACTGCATCAAAACCCACTCCATTCGTCAAAGTAAAAAATAATCATTTGCCGTGTTTAGACCAGAAAGAACTGGGGTACCTTTCCAACTACCGACTCTTCCGAAATCCGCCAGGTCACTTACGATGAGAACTTACTAAACAGCCCCCCATCCAATTAGATCCTCAGCCAAAGGGAAAATATCCAAGTAACATATGACTGAAATCTCAAAACTGACCATATCGCAAGCCCGCTTCCCTTCTCGTAGGGTAGATGAGTGAGACGCCAGCTTTTGTGAATCAGGTAGTCCACTTCCGAAGGTAGAATGGCCAATAAGTGTCATACCAGAGCTATGACTAAGGCTGAAAAGAATGAATGTCAAGCGTCTTTTTAGTCGTTACATAATTAATCCGAATTCGACTCTGAGGCACTATACGATAGAAAACTGAAAAGTAAAAGAAGGTAGTTCTGGCGCGAAAACAGTCAATAAATGGCTTTTACCACAATATCTTACCAGCCTATAGCAGCATTGAACCCAACCTCAAATCCCTCCATACATCGCCCTTGTAAAGTCACAAAGCGCGCATACTGTAACAAAGGGGTTTTCAGTTTTCAGTGTTTTCATGTGTACTAAACATTACACTACACTCTATAGAACTTATGCGACTGAATCACATACTGAAGGTGAATATCCGCCGTGACTTACTTCAACTCCCCAACGAACTGATGGAATTTGTGGCGAGCGCGATCCGATCCTGTAAGAGCGCGTTCAGACTTCGCGATCGGCGCCATCCAGTTCGCGCGAACTGGATCGCGCGATCGCGAAGCCTAAACGCGCTTTAAAGCGTGGTCCATTCAGGCCGTATTCATACTTCGCAGTTTCCAGAACGCGCGGCTGTGGCCATCCGCCCTTCACGACAACTCGACGTCACGGGCCGGTCGCAGTCGCGCGATTTGGGAACCGTCAAAGCAGCGAAGTATGAACGCTGTCCTACATAACTTCGACAGCTTTGAGGGAAATTCGCGGTTGCAAAACGTGCGTAGCTGCTTCAGATGTGAATTCGTAAATGTTAGCAACTTATCAGTGAAGAAAAACGAAAAGTTGGAGACCTATGGAATGGACAAGAAATCGACACTAAAGCACGGGCTATAGACTAGAAACAATGGAGTAGACAAAGATCGGTCCCACACGCAACGATAACGTGTCACACTTGTGTTAGCAGGTGTAGAACTGCTGTCATATATCGTTTTTACAATGATAAGAATAGTAGAATGCGCAATAAGGGTAAGGCAACTCGGACTTTTTGAGTTCGCCCGGCCTACGATGACCGCTACAGTTCAGCCCCAAAAGTGGTACAACTTATGAGATTAGGGAAAGAATTATCGGTGCAAGGAGGAGAGCTTGCCCATCGGCTAATCATGGGATGTTCCTTCAAATCACCTTGAAAGAGAGCTGAAGGATATGGCGAAAACGCTCCAAATGAGGCGACCTTGATTTCGAGCGCTAGAGGAGCACGTGGTCACTTTGAGACCCAGAGATCCTCAGCGCCTCGTACCGTGGGCTCTAAAATGGATCGCAGCGCCAGGGGAGTCATGCGTATGTGAGCGTTCGAGCTTTACAAATGCGGGTTTTCGGCTATTGCAATCCACTAGGAACCTTGCAACACACCATTCGATTAGCGAAGATCCACACTGGGTGCAGGTTGTGGACCTGCTGTTATGAGGACCTGTAACCTGCAACCTAACTATTAGATGACGCAGTGTGTCTTTTAGTATAGAATTCGCATCAATTCTCGCATCAAATTGCGTGCGCTTTGAAATATGACTTTGGTGCACAACTGCAACTGATATTGTCAGCCGCCGCGAACCCGGATCTCTGACCCTTACTGCCAGCAGTGTGGCGAACTATTTGACAGCCAGGCAGGCTGTCAATACTTTCATAGCAAAGTGACGAATATACCCTTCACTACCAACCGAGCCATAGCACTATCTCCACCCTGTCTTACTACTCGCTGTAAAATAGCTTTCTAGAGCGCCATATATAATTAGGATTTTATGCCGATGAAAATGGAAAAGCTATGAAGAGTTAAAATGCGTAAGACAAAGCGATTATGGGTTAATCACGCTTTTTTCAATCAAATCAATCAATACACTTATGGTTACAACGTTAGTGTTGTCAGCGTTCGTGACAGCCGACCAAACTTGTGAATGAATCATGGAGTTGATAGGGTTCAAAATGTCAAAAACAAGCCCTGACCATAATTACAGGGAGTGAGCTAGAAAGCGTTATGTGGCCCCCTTTCCCTGGCC